AATTGACTTAATCAACTAGGCCTCTAATCCCAAAGGGCAAGCCAGCACTGCCTCAAGAACTTTTTGGTTTCAGGGCAGGCAGGTCAGTTTTTGCCCCAACCTGGAGGAAGGAGACACGTTTCTCAGCCCACTTTCCATTAGCAAAGTCAGCCCCCCTCCGTTCATTCATGAAAAACAGGTGCCGAAGACCTCTCCACTGGGGCCTCCCAGGTTTCAGAAGGACCTGATGGCGCCGAACGCCACTCAGTCGGGGAAGACTCCCTACAGGAGCAATCCAGTTTCCCACCTTTGCTGTACCGAAACCCGGCTGGAGAGACACGTGCGGAAACCCGCCGCCTACGCATGCGCAATGGCCTTCCCTCGCTTGCCCCTAGGCCCCAGAACTACAAATCCCGTCTCACCGCGCGCCCACGTTGCCGCGCTTAAGGACTCTGGCTGTGACTCAAAACCCGGGGGTCTGGAACCCGCCCCCCCCCGGAGGTGGGCATTGAGCAGAAGGAAGAGTGACATTGAGGGGCTGGGACGGGAAGTTTCGGGAACGGGTGTGGGAGTTTTCTGTTCAGGGTTGGGGATTGCTCCAGATAAGGGTCAGGTGGGGAGAGAGTTGGAGATGGGCGAGAAAATTTAATGCTCACCTTCTTTTAATATGTCAAGTTTCAAAAAGAAAATAACAATGATAATAAGTCAAGTTCCCATTGGTCCCGCGCCAAGCCTTGGGGGAGAGGAGAGTTGGACAGAATAAAGTGACCCACCCTGCTTTTGTGGTCCAAGGTATCGGCCCTTGTGTGATCATGGAAGTCTTTCTTCCTCTCCCCATCTAGTGGATTTGAGTACTGAATCCAGACTTTTTCCCTCCTTTTTTAAGGGAGGCTCCATGCCCAACGTGGGGCTTAAACTCACAACCCTAAGATCAAGAGTCACACACTACTGAATGAGCCAGTCAGGTGCCCTCATTTCACTATTTCTTAACACCTACCCTACTGCCTGTCAGGCAATTTCCTAATGTAATTCTCACAACAGCCCTGTACACAGCAAACTTACTTCAACTAGAAATTTACTTCAGCTAGAAACAGTGCAAAAAAAGAAACTCAAGGAGCTGGTGCTCAACTGTTAATCTGAAATGGGAGACAAAGGCCTCTCCGTTTACAACAGTGTCTCTGCTTGAGCATCTCTTCGCGCTGCTCCCACGTTTAAAGGTCACCAAACGTCCCCCAACCCAAGCCAACTGCTTCACCCAGAGAATAATGACAGCTGTTTCAAATAATGTCAGGGTTAGTGTTGACTTCATCAATATTGCCCTTGCTTTAGAACTTGACTCTGGGGCGCCTGGGTGGTGCAGTCGGTTAAGCGACAGATTCTTGATCTCAGCTCAGGTCATGATCTCACAGTTGGTGAGTACCGGGTTCTGGGCTGATGGTGCAAAGCCTGCTTGGGATTCTGTCTCTCCTCTCTGCCCCTCCCCTGCTTGTGCTCGCGCCCACGCTCTCTCTCTCTCTCTCTCCAAATAAATAAACTTAAAAAAAGAAAAAGGACCTTGACACTGCCGATGCTTCTGTATTGTACCCCTATTTTATAGATGAAAAACTTGAACCACAGAAAGGCTAAGTGACTTACCCAAGATCACACAACCAAGAGGCATCAGAATAGTTTGCAGCCACGACCGTGTGACTCACCAAACCCTGAATTTGATTCTCCTTCCCCTTCAGACTTTCCCCAGGTCACGACTGGTGAATGCAGTGAAGGGGGATGCTGGGACTCCATCAGCTCCTCCTGCCTCCTGACACTCCAGAAAAGAGGCTGAGCTGCTGCAGGGGCGACCTACTTCTCCCACTTGTGTTTCTTTTTAAAGATCCAGCGGCTGCTGGTGCCTTTGAGGGAGGAGGTAAGAGTGGCGCCATCGGCCTTCTATGTCCCCTCCCCCAACACTACATCCCCGAGGCTGGTTACACCCGGGCCAGCTCACCATCCCCAAAACAGGAGGGAGAGACCTTTGAGCCGATGTGGAAGATAAACCGGACAAGCCTTGCAGCAGGAAGTCAGCAGGAAGCGAGAGGGGCACGTCTCCTTGTCCGAAGCCCGCTACCGCTCTTCTCTTTGAGGAGCCAGGGGTGCTCTCAGCTGGGTGTCTTTGCACCTACTGTTCCTTTGGCCTTGAACACTTCCAAGGATCTTCACTGCTCTCAGAATTTAGGGCAAATGTTAACCTTCTCGGGGCCATCCCTGACCAACTTACACTTGCCATCTCTCCCACGCTCATCTCTGCCCCCCTTTCATACTCCCCCCACCCCCATAGAACGTATAACCTTCCGATGTGTGATGCGTTCTGTATTCTATTTTGTTTCTTGTCTCCTCATCTAGAATGTTAGCTCCACTAAAACAAGGAGTCTTGCCTGTCTGGGGGTGCTCCGTGTCTGGAAGGCCCACCCCATCCCCCACAGGCTGGATCTGTCAGTCTGAGGCCAGGTGGATACCACCTCAGCCTTCCTCCCTCTGCCTACACAGGTCCCAGGCACCAGGTGGCCATCATGATCTGCCATCATCTTCCAAGTCGTGGCCCTCCTGACGGAAGGGGGATGGGAGCCTGAATCTGGGATGGGGAGGAGTGCCAGCTGCTCGGCATTCCTGCACGGGAAGGCCTGGGAGGTGGGCCCAAGGCTGGGGGGACCCAGATGTCGCTCCAGGTCTAGGAGACTTGAGAAAGGATCATCAGGAGGCACGGGCATCTTAAAGTGTTTGTGGGTTCACTGGAGAACAGGCAGCCAGGCAGCTTCCAGGAGGGCACAGAAGTACGAGGAGCACTAAAAGGACACGAGGGGAGTCAGGCTTCCTTTAGGACGACACTCCATCCCCTGACGTGTCAACAGTCATGTTCTGCAAGGTGGCATCTGTGCTGCTGATCACATATACATAAGGGTGGGGTCGACCCAGCCTCCCTGGGAGGGCTGCAGGGAGCTGGCAGGACAGAGCAGCCCCGCCAGAGTCCAGATCCTAGCCCTGCTCACTTCCTCAACCCCCAACTGTCCACCTCTTCCCCTCCCCCGGTCCCGGCCCAGCCTCATCTCCGGGTTCTGCCCCAGGGCCCTCTTCAGTCTGTTCTCCACACAGAAGCCAAAAGGGGCCGGGGCGCCTGGGTGGCTCAGTCGGTTGAGCGGCCGACTTCGGCTCAGGTCATGATCTCGCGGTCCGTGGGTTCGAGCCCCGCGTCGGGCTCTGTGCTGACAGCTCAGAGCCTGGAGCCTGTTTCAGATTCTGTGTCTCCCTCTCTCTGACCCTCCCCCGTTCATGCTCTGTCTCTCTGTCTTAAAAACA